GGTTTGGACCTTGTATGAGGATAGTGAGTAGAATGTACTTTTGTTTCTGACATATCCATGTTGGAAGATTATACATTGTGAGAAGGACTGGCCATGTGCTGTGCGAGCTGCTTAAGTCACCAAACGGGTTCATTCCATCAGTGCTCAACGCAAACCTTACATTCCTAGGATCCTTAGCAAATTCTGGGTGTTTTGCATCAAATGTCTTCCACTGGCGAGCGTCGGCGGGATGTCGAATCATACCATCTATTTTCTGGCTCTCTTGATGCCATCTCATCAACTCAGCATCAGTCGGGTTTGAGTACAGACGCTTCAGTCGGTCCTTAATTGGTAGGTACCACATCACCATTGAAGGAATCTTCCCGCGCTTACCCTTATCAGAATCTGGATCGGTACACTCTGAATCTACGGGCCCATTCCCCGTTTTATACCGACTTGTGCCACACGTTGGGCAACATTCCAATTCCGCATATTCTTTACGGTATAATATGCAGGGATTCTTACAAGCATGAATCTTTTCTACACCAAGAGATAAAGGACATATGAGTTTCTTCGCTTGATACGTGTTCGATGGTACAAAGTTAGGCTTAGGAAGCAACATACGCAACAAACTCATCAGATCATTAAAACTTGTGTCCGACTATCCATGTTTAGCCTTCAATCTCAGAAGTTCAAGCACTGAACGCAAGACTGTGAAATCCTTATCACATCCCTTCGTTTCATCGTAAAGAAGATCCTTCGATGCCTTCTCTAATGCTTGCCAATTCTCCAATCCTCGTGACCTGCCCGCTAGCACCTCTGGTTCAACATGTCGTAGCATATCCTCTAAATCAAAACCACCATCGAAATCATCACTATCGGTGGAAACATCGACAACCATTCTTTCACGCGACATGTCTTCGATTATAAAATTCTCTGCCTCATTCATCTCGAAACTTAACTCTTCATCGTCATCTTCCGGATTGGCGAATTCCCCGTGATAGGTCCAAACCTTGTAGTTGGCGGTGAATCCGTACTCCATTATGTGACCCAATATTTCACCAGGATCTACCAACAATTTCTGATTCTTGCAATGACGGCACGGACAAAAGATCTTTGTCATATTCTCCCTCAAAGCATGCTCCTTAGCCTGATCAATAAATTTAGATGCTTCCTTAATAAATATCGGCTGCGTTCTCCGCATCTCATACATCCATGACGACCGATCCATCTAATTATATAAAGGCAAAAAAGTTACAGATAAAAAAATAGACCGCAGGTATTTCATACAAAAGTTTAAATGCATTTGTCTCCCAAAAAAAATACAACAATACATGTAACTAGTATGTACAATTGATTACATGCAAAATTTGCCCATCAAAACATATATTTTGAAGCTAGATTTTGCAAAAAATAGTTAGAACAAACCTTGTCAAAATATTAAAAAAACTCCACTTTCCACCAACGAAATATAACAAAAATGGAGCCAAATGAAGCAGGATAGAGAGTTCTTCACCTTTCGTATAGAGTTCAAGTAAAAATTTCGAGTTGAAAACCTCCCCCCCTAATTGGGGCTTGCTTTAGGAGAGAGAAAGCTTCGTTTTCAAATGGTCAAGCTCGGGCCTGGAGGAGCATATATGGCCGATCATCGCATGCGGTCCCTTAAGCCAGCCGCATGCGAAGATCCATTATCTCATGCGGCTACTTAGGACAGCCGCATGCGATAATGGGCCTATTTTCGCATGCGGCTGTCTTAACCAGCCGCATGCGGCTAATCAACCCGCCCCCGGGGGGGCGGTTTTTGCAGGCGCCGCCACAAGCGGCCCGCATGGAACCTACCGACCCCCTCGTACAGAAAAACGATTTTTGTAGTATTGATATATGTGTGAAATTAATAAAACTAATTTGGTGTTGTAGATGTTGCTATGTTTTTTTTTATAAATTTAGTTAGACTTACAGAAATTCAACTTATAACAGACAAATTTCTAATCGTATGTAACAATGGGAGTAGTTAAATCAATTTAAACTAGTGTGTCAATGTGTCCAATTTGAACTATTATGCCAATTTATTCAATTTGAACAAGTGGACCCCCTAGGATTGCGTATGGAGTCTATCGGTACAGTGAAAATAATGCAAAACAATGTTCCGCACTGTAGCATCAGACTCATTTTACTATGCGTGTCTGCCAATATTGCTCCTAATGGCAGATGATGCGAATCCAGTATATGGGCATTGTTTACCATCTATAATTCAAAACTTCAAAGCTAGATGACACCTCATGCATCTTTGTGGGATACCTGTCTTCAATACCTTGTGCATCACTGTGGGATATCTATGTGTAGATAAATAACTTTTAAAAATATGCAAGCTAAAGAAAAAAGACGAGATGAAAAAAAAATAAAGGACTAGCACTCTTCAGTATAGCCATGGAGAGATCAATTCTTTCCATTGGAAGTTAAAGCTGAATGATGAACCATAATTACAACGATGAAATGCATGTGAGTAAAAGAGAATTAAAGGTTTTAACTCTTCTGTTTCACATCAACTAAGAGCAAGTTTAATAGTATAGCCAACTACTAGCTCCAATTCATCTATAGCCAATCTAATAGCTCATTCATACAATAGTTACATACTACACTATTAATATCTGGTCCCACATGTCATATATACACTACGTCTTGGAGTCCATGCTACAGCTGGCTATAAATCTGTATTCCGCTGCTCTTCTCTCTCCTTATTTATCTTTTTAAAATATGTTTACACAGCTGGCTTATAGCCTGCTATTGTACCTGCTCTAAGACCTTCTCTTAGCTAGCCCTTTAACGGTCTATCCAACTTTTAAAATTTTTGGGGAATCGAGATGTGGCTCAATGCATTTTTAAGAAAATAATTTGAGAAAGAAAAAGAAAACCCTGCACAATACAATATATTTCGCAAATCATGCATTTGTGCCCAGTTGATCTCCCTTTCCCATCCTCAACCCTAGTATGTAACAGAGGGAGTAATTAAATAAATTTAAACAAAAAATTCTTATAGTATGCAGTAGAGGAAGTAATCTTTTTGCTCATGAAAATCAATTGGTCAATGCTAGACCAAATATAGATCCAACCATATTAAATAACATAACTCTAAAAATATGGGCATCAATCTTATAATCAATTTTGTTTTTAAAGCTAAAGTTGGGCGGTAGTAAAATCCAGGGTTTGAAATTTCGAAAGAAGGATTTCTACCGTAGGTAGGCGATAGAACCGAAATTTTCAAAATTTTGGATTTTTTCCTACGAAATTTTTTGAAATTTTGACTGATTTTGAATGGATTTGAATGAAATTTGACCAAATTTGCAAAAAAAAAAAACCAAAAGTTTCAGGCGAGATATGAGCATTTCGGCGGGGGGGGGGGGGGGCGAAATTTCCGAGATTTCCGAAATTTTGTAAATTCCGGGACATCCATTTTACTAAATTCTAAGTTTGACACTTGAATTGCTCGGGGTACTTGGGACGTTTTATTTGCTGGAATGCTAAAACATGCCATCCCGTTCCAAGCAGTGGAACAGGATGCACCCAGCTCTCCACTGCATGTGACGGTGTGAGCGAAATGAGCTCTCCTCCACCGCCGCTGCGCCTCCTCCCCCACACGCACTCTGGGATAAAGCACCGTCAGCTGCTCCATCATTGTCGTCGACAAGGCAGAGGAGGACAGAGAGATGGAGAGTCAAGGGAGTTAGTTGAATGGCGGCAAGAAGGCCACCATTGCATCCCTCCACAGCACCACCGACAAGGCCACCGCAAAAATCTCCCCCATGACGTTCATCGCGGTGCTTTCTCGGTGCCCTCCGGCTCCGCTTTCTTTTCCTCCTCCGAGAAGATAAGCATGAGAAGGTTCAATGCACGGAGCGAGGCTACATCGACGAGCAAGAGCTCGGCTGGTGCAAAAGACGACATCTGAGAGGGGATGCCATGTCCCCCAAGGTGTAAGTGCCCCACGTTGGCCGCATTGAGAAGGGGAGCGTGGGGCGTGGGCTACCAGTAGAGCCAAGCTAAACAAGCTAGAAGCGGCAACGACATCAGGACCCTAGACCAAGATGTGAGGGAATAGAGAGTCGGGGTTAGAGAAGACAGTTAGACATGAGCAGGCGTTGAAGGACGGATCTAAATGTATCAAACCTAGTTACCTCATAAGAGCAATAAGAGCAGGTACAATAGCAGGCTATAAACCAGCTGCAAATATATTTTAAGGAGATAAATAAGGAGAGAGAAGAGCAGCGGGCTATAGATTTGTAGCCAGCTGTAGCACGGACTCAAAGACGTAGTGTGAGTATGACAGGTGGGACCAGATATTAATAGTGTAGTATGTAAGTATTGTATGAATGAGCTATTAGATTGGCTATAGATGAATTGGAGCTAGTAGTTGGCTATACTATTAAACTTGCTCTAACTATATATCAGGCTGGTGCCTAGGTATTGTTGGACTAGTATTGAGCAGTATCAGCCTATTACAGATAGGTATTAGTCTGTTTGCAATAAATACCAGATCTAATACTAATGAGGTACCAGACCTGATACGGACAGTGGTAAGATCCAGTACCGGTTCAGCACCAAGTGCCAAGTACCATTCGGATGGTCTAGCACGAGATCATGTGATCTAGCACTTCCCATTATTAATTTGGGCTTAACAGGGTATTAATTTTGACTATTCACCTGGTAAGCCAAATGATTTTTAGATTCATCTTACTTGATGCAGTTCGGTTCCAAAGTTTAATTTTCTCAACAAATTTACCACCCATATCATATCCAAGCTAGATTTATATATGCAATGCAAAACTGTAATACAAAAGGTTTATAATTTGAATTCCAAAACTTAATTTTAAGTTGATTTCAGAGCTTATTTATTATAGTCTATTTTTTCTAGCCTTGACTTTTAAATGATAGATGTAAAAGCTTTATCCGTAAATTATTTTTTATTTTTTCATTTCTTTTTTCAGTTGACTCAACCAATAAGAGTCTAACATTGGTTTTTACAGCCACAGGTCGACCGCTAACACTTTTATACCTACTGTGAGGCCCTTGATTTTAGCCATACAATGGAAGTTCCAGAAAGTAAGCTTGGGGATTTCATCCAAGGCGATGACAGGGCAAAGTGGATAGCGGACAGCAATCACAATATCACAAAATTCACAGAAGATGAGATTAAGAGAATTACTGACAACTATAGTACTGTTATTGGAAAAGGTGGATTTGGACAAGTTTACAAAGGAGTTCTTGATGATAACCGTGTAGTCGCAGTGAAGAGATACATATTTGAGGATTCCATGGAAGACTTAGCTAAAGAAGTAATCGCCCACAGCCAAGTCAACCATAAAAATGTGGTTAGGCTTGTAGGTTATAGCATAGAGCAAAATAATGCTCTAATGGTGGTCACAGAGTATGTATCCAAAGGGAGCCTGCATGACATCCTTCATCAAAGTGATACTCCCATATCTTTGGACACAAGATTGTGTATTGCTATACAGTGTGCAGAAGCATTAGGCTATATGCATTCTTCAATGTATACCCCTATTGTTCATGGGGATATCAAGCCTTCAAATATACTACTGGATGACAATCTTGATGCAAAAATATCAGATTTTGGAATATCAAGGTTTCTCTACGGAGGTAAAACTCGGCACACTAAAAATGTAAAAGGGAGCATAGATTACATGGATCCTATACTATTTAGAGACGGGACACAATCGTCGAAGAACGATGTTTATAGTTTTGGAGCAGTTCTACTAGAATTAATTACTAGAAAGAGGATAAAAGAGGAAGGAAAAGTTAGCCTCATTACAAGTTTCACCGAACATGATTCAGAAGGAAAACGGATGAAGGATCTTTTTGATGCAAATATAGCATCCGTCAGTAACATGAAGATTATCAATCAAATAGGAAAATTAGCAACAAAGTGCCTAGCAATGGACATGAAGAAACGTCCAAAGATGAACATTGTGGCTGAACACCTTCGGAAGCTTAGAGAATATCGCAATGGAGGACATGATAATACAACCCTTTGGCGATCCTTCTCGGTAACACAAGATTTGTTTGAAAAATACAAGCAAAGCACAAGGAATGCCAGCTATGGTTCGACCAAGCACCCTAAGAAGAAGAAGAAGAAGAGTTTCGCCATTTTCAAACATAATAGTGGCAATTCTAAGTTACTGGAAAAGCTTGGTGCTGTAAGAATTTTCACAAAGAAAGAACTAAAGAAATTTACAATGGATTATTCCTGTTTACTTCTTAAAGACGGTTTAGCAGAGTACCACAGAGGAATTCTCGAGGACAATACGTTGGTCACAGTAAAGACGCCTTATGATGGAGATGAGAGCCTCAAAAATTGTTTTCTCATGGAAATGATGATCTTGTCTCACATCTCCCACAAGAACATGGTCAAACTGTTGGGCTGTTGCTTGGAGGCTAATATTCCAATTTTAGTGCATGAGTACACTGCTAAGGGGAGTCTCTCTGACATTGTACATCATCAGCCTGGATATTTCTCGCTACCATTACGCCTGAAGATTGCATCTGAGACTTCAGAAGCACTGGCACACATCCATTCTTCAACAGTTGGAGGCATCGTACATGGACCTCTCACACCTTACGATGTACTGTTGGATGAAAATTTCATGCCAATGGTTTCATGCTTTCTTTCCTCGAGAAGCATTACCAAGGACAAGGATCATATCGTTCCTGTATTGAGGATGACTCGCTGCAATGACCCGGTTTACATGCAAACCGGGATTGCAAAGAACGAAAGTTTCGTGTACAGCTTTGGTGTCATTCTGATGGTACTCATCAGAGGGAGAATGCCTAAAGATCACAACTTTGTTTCTGAATTCATCCAAGCTTATGAGGCAGAAGATAGTGGAGAGAGAATGTTCCATCTGTCCATCACAGGAGATCAAGAGGATAGGATGGCCATACTTGAGGAGATGGGAAGGATGGCAGTGAGGTGTGTGAGCCCGGAAGAAGATGGAAGGCCAACAATGGCGGAAGTGGCAGAACGCCTTGAGTTGCTCAGAAGTCAGAACTTCGATTCGGCCGTAGAAGACCACGATGCACATACATATGCATGGAGGAAGTCATTATAGCCAACCATATTGAGGTTACAATTGGTACCAGTGTACCACCTCCATTCCGTTTTTAAATGCTTGCTGTTAATTGTTGACCATCGGATATGAAGTTGGACTATCCGTTTCATTAAAATTTTATATAAGTATTCATTTTCTTGAAAGAATATGTAAGTAATATTTATTTTGTCCTAACCTGTTTTATCATTAAAGTTACTTTGAGTATTACTTATGTTTTTAAGATATTTGCATTAAATTTTAGAATAGAATAATGGTCAAATGTTCATATATTTCCTCCCGAAAGAACATTACATCCACAAAATCAAGAGCATCATTCATTTAAGAAAAAAGTTAAGTAAAACCATATAAGTTATGAGAAACGTCTTAGGCGTCTTCCAGCTAGCTCCACAAGATGGTGGAGCTAGAGGACCTTGGTTCGAAGCTTTACCCCTTCTAATTATTTGATATTATGTCCTTCCATAATATTCGTGTCCGTTTTAAACCATGCAAGTTATGATGAAACACGCTTTTGTATGTCCTTTAAAGCTAGCCAAGTACATCTACATTATAGCCTTAAATAAAGGTAGAAGCATTCGGATTATTTATATATGTAGCCAGAAATGCTTATATATTTGGATGAAGCTTAGAGGGAGTGCGTGATCTGGTAACAACGTCATACCATCTATCATTAGTACAAAACATCACATCCGTAACACCCTAACAAGTATCAGTTCACTTGAAATCGGTACCTATAACAGAATTTTTGTGTAAGTGAGCACTTTAACTATATCAAATTAAGAACCGGTATCTATAATCACTCGTCCTTTTGCCTAAGAGATGGCTTTTGTATTTATTGTTCGTTGGATGTTAACATGTTGAAGATTAATTGTGTGGTGTTGTCTGAACCAACTTGCGTGCGTGCTATTTTCATGGACAAAAATAGATGTGGAGAAAAGTGTAGCTGGCGCACTGGTGCATCATTTTGCCAGTATTTAGCTCCTGGTTGACAACACTTTAGATTTCAGATCCACGATAGATTTGAAACTTGTATGTTAAATTATAGTTTTTAAAATTTTAAATTTTATCTAAAATAGAGATAAAATGATTTATCTAAATGTTATCAACATAATTACAATTCTAGATACTTATATTTCTAGAGTTAGAAATACTCAGATTTAGAGTGGTCACAAGATACGGAGATCGCCCGTGAAGCATTATGATACCGTGGCTCTCTTGAGCCTCGAGGCTTTCTAGAGACCGCCGTGGCCAAGTTGGATAGGTAACCAAATGGTGGATGGAAAAGTCCATTTTACCTACCTTCCGTATTGGTTGAGTTTAATTCACGCCACGTCACAAAAACATGGTATATAGGCTCCCTTAATTTTTAAAATCAGTGCAAATTGACCCCCAAAACGACTCATACCAATATGACACGTTGACCTAGTATTCATGCAATGTGGAGCCTATGTGGCGTTTAAGTGGCATCACAGTAATAATAAAAAAAATTAAAACTAGACAGACTCATATAGTCACGTGTAAGTTTCTCGGAAAAATTGTTTAAAAAATCAGTGGAACTCATGTGTTATCCTCCCTCTGTTCCGCTCCCTCTCTCTTCACATCCTACTTCTCCCACGTGCTCCTCCCTAATGATCTGGGCATTGACAAGGACGAAGACGATGGCATCAGCGAGGGGATCGAAGGTGGTGCCATCCTCCGAGCTCGATATCTCTTGACGTTGCCAAACATTTCCCCTTAGCACCGGCCCCAATCTAGTAGCTGAGCAGGCAGCGATGTAGAGGAGACTAGTGGCATGAGGCTATTCTAGTTTGCCGGAGGAGGCCAATGGCTTCGTCGATTGGGAAGCTCCTCCCCTCGCCACCGCCGGCCTCCCTGCTTCCTCATGTGCCTCTTGCAGGTTTTGTATCCAAAAACAGATGGGGGTGAAATGGCCTAAATGGGCCAAGCATTGTATCTGTTAGCCAGGCTAAATCGGCCCACAGAGTGGTTGGCAAATTGAGGCCAATTGCACCATACTTACTCATGTAATCTTACGCATGTTTTGATCCAAATTTGCGTGAGCTGAATTGGGTATCTACCCTGTAAAAGGAATAACTCAACATTACATCCCTCGTTTTTCTGACGAGTTGAAATCATATCCTAAACTGCAATATTGGAAATCATAACGCTCCCTCACTGCCAACTTGCAAAACTAGATTAAATTAGGTTTGGTGGTAGTATGGATGGCTGGTTTCATTGACATGGTGAGTTGACTGCATGCAACCCGGTTGAGTTAGTGAGGGATGCACGTGGGCCCCACATGTTAGTCTCCTATATTCTTCCTTTAACATCCCTCCGCATCTCTAGTCTCTCCATCTCTCCCCTCTCTTCCTCATGGCGGTGACCGGTTGGGAAGGAGCAAGTGGAGGGCAAGGCCAGCTTGGGAAAGGGTAGGAGGATACCGAGGTGCCTCCCCGCCACCCCTATCCCCCGCGCAAGCTCGAGCTCGAGATTCGTAGCCGCCATTGCACTGTGATATTGAGCGTGGGCATGGCAGTGTCTACGGAGGAAGGTGGTGAAGGCGCCGACGCCGGTAGAGGAGAAGGAAAGGCAGATCTTTGCACAGATGGGGAAAGTAGTCGTAGCCGTAGTCGACGAAGAAGCGATCAGACACTTCGGCAGTGTCGGACGTGCATAGAGGCGGAACATGGTGACCACATCCCCGACACATGGCAGCCACGATAGCAGGGAACGGATGCTAGGTGTCCATCCTATGGCGACGGAGCTGTTGTTGCTGCTACGGCGGTCCTTCTAGGTGGGAGGTGGAGTAGCCCACCTAGGGCACCTCCTTAGGTGTGGACCAGGTACACGAATGTCCGCTGTGGAGCAGAGAGGAGATGAGGTGTCATCGCTTGAGCCCGTCAGGGTGAAGCCACTACACGCGCTACCTAGGAAATAGGATGGATACGAGATGAGGCGACTACTCGAGCTTTGTGTCGGTGTCGCCGCCGCTTAGAGGAGATGAGGTTGCCGACGCCTTGATTCATCTTCCATCACCGGCTGCCCTATAGACTAATGGGCATCTCCGCCCGTATCAAGTTGTCACTGCGACACGGGAGGGGGGCACAATAGTAGGGAGGTGGGTGCAAGATGGCAGGGGCACAATAGTAGGGAGGTGGGTGCAAGATGGCAGGGCCGATGAACGCCTTTCGACAGATACCTACCAGTGAGTTCCTGCTAGGGTGAGTCAATGCCGCATGGATGTGAGGACGACATCACATCCTTCACCATCGGAGGAACGAGAGATGGAGAGGAAAGAGGGGAGAGAAAGAGGAAGGAGAGAGAAGAGGGGAGGAGTGTGAGGATGACATGTGAACCCATTTTTTGTTTTTTGCCATGTAACGCCTAGTCATCACGAGTGGACTAGGTTGACTTACCACATTAGCGAAACCAAACTATCTGTGCTGCCGAAGGATCTAATTTAACCCGGGTTTGCAAGCTGGGGTTCAAGATTTTTTATATTAGAATTCAGGGACAAGATTTAAACTTAATTGAAAGAAGAGCAAGGGGCATTAAGTGGACTTATTACCCCTGTAAATCTAGGTGGGGCTAAACGGGCTGCGCCAACTATCCGAAACTAGGCTCTACTAGGCCATAGCCCATACCGCAGTGGGTGGAATGCTTACATGCTTTGGACCAATGGTAGCAAGGAATAAGTTCACTCGTCATCCCTTAACTTTCAGTCGGGGTTTGTTTGACATCCCTAATTCCCAATAACAGTATAGATCCCATTTTCCCTAGTTTTCACAAAGGATGAGGGCTAATATTATTCGGGAACGCCTCCAGCTCGGGTGCCCGATGCAAACAGGTTAAAATCGGGCGCTGGTCGTGCAATTTACGTGCAAAACTATTTTAAACTGATTTTTCTCTTAAATTACTTATCCAAATTATGATCCGATTGCACCATTAAATTCGTTACAATTAAATCTTCAAAACAAGACCACACATGGATATATTCCGACAAAAAAAATTTTTAGCTTATTATTGAATTATTTTTAAATGTTGCACGATGTTCCACCAGGTATTTCGGAATTGTTTCACTAAGCAGATCGAAAATGTTTCACTCGTTTAAATCGGGTGTTGTTTCACCTTATATAAAAACAATGTTTCAGCAAATAGCGAAAGAATGTTTCAGTTCACTGTAACATTAGATCTATAAATAGTGAAACATTATGAATACTACTAGGTGAAACATTTTTCGGTGGAATAGGGGGTTTCCAAAATATATGGGTTTTTTTGTAGAACAAAAAAATAAACCAAATTTTAAAAAATATGTAGGTTTAATTCACTGCAACATTGGATCTATAAAATAGTGAAACAATATAAATACACTAGGTGAAACATTTTTTTTTTAGAAAAATGAGAGAGAAGTGGGTGGGCGCGCTGGGGGAGCGTCCGATCCGGCTCCCCCGCGCCGGACGCCAGGCAATGAGCATTCCCGATATTATTCCTCTCCTCTCTGAGACAAGAGCAGATAAGATGATATGCTCCTCTCTTATTATCATTACCACCGGCGCCACCGTCGCCGCTTCGGTCACTTGACGACCTCCATCGTCAACCTGGGCCTCGACGGGAGTCCCATCGATGGCGTGCCACACGACTACAAGCTAGCCCCCCACCGGCCACATCGCCCGACCAGCTCTACCCTGCTGTCGTTCCACCCATCATCGTTGCCGCTCCTGAACAAGTATAAGACACTCAACCTCACCCAACGGTTTGTCGTGCTGCGGGATCAGCTCGGGATGCGGCACGAGTACGCGCCGCTCATCTCTGCGCTATATATCCAGGGACCAGGGAGAGGTTCACGCCGTCGTCGATCAAGGAGGCCACGGGGATCTCCACCGTCGAGCAGAACCGTGTCATCATTTGCCCCCAGGTCCTCGATCGACATCTCCGAGGACTTCACCGACGAGCTGGGCTCCCTCACTTCGACTCCTACGGTAGGCCGGCCGGAGCTGCTCTACGAGCGCGCCGATGCGCGGCAAGGCATGCCATGCGTCGACTGCCGCCTCGAACCACGGTGACTGGCTGACTGCCATGGCTTCGCCCAGCGATGACGGGTGGGAGTCACCAATAATGCAGGCGAGCGCAATCACGGCCTGGACGACGACCTCGATCCCA